AATGTACATGTTATCCTTATCCGGGTTTAATCTTATTCTTTACTTGTTAATTAATTATTAATTACTGGGTTAGTTTGCAGCTTGGTGCTGGAACTTCCTTGCCAGGTTTGGTTGCAGTCAAAGTTGGTGCTGACGTCACTCTCACTGATGACTCGAGTAGATTAGAGGTATTGAATTTCAGTTAAATTTATTTTTTTAATTTCTGTTCATAAATCAGTTTCTTCTTTCTGTTTGTACCCAATTTTTCTTATTTGCTTGAAAGCTCATTTATCTTTATGATGGTCATTGGTTTGAATATATGTTGGGAAATGTTATGTTTTATGTTACTTTTTGCTTAAAAATCCCACTGAAATGATTTTCATTTTAATCAAGGAATGCATTTGAATTTTGGTATGTTGCCGATTTCGATTTTTTTGATTCAGAAGTATAATTTTGCTATGAACTGCCTGCATTGGTCCCAATTGACCCTTAAAGTTGATAAAGAATCTTCATTTTCTTTGTTACTTCAGTTACTTAGTTCAGACTTGTTATTTCTTCTCCAAACGTCTCTGTTTTAAATGGCTATAATTAGCGATTTACGGCATTGTTGTTTTGCATCTGCAGGTGCTGGACAACATGAAACGAGTGCTTGACCTTAATAAACTTGAGTGCAATGTAATTTCCATCAACAGACTAAACTCCGTTTCTTATTTGCGTATCGCCTAATAAGATGATGTTAATTGTATCTTCCTTTTGTGTCACCATGACCTTGTTTATCTTGTTAGGAGATCTAGTTCTGTTTTCAGGTGCTGGGATTGACATGGGGAGTTTGGGATGCATCTACATTCAGTTTACATCCAAAATTTATTCTTGGGGCTGATGTGTTATATGATGCTAGTGGTAGGGTTATTATTATCTACTAGTTTTTTGTTTTTGTTTTTTCTCATTTTTCCCTCTTACCATCTCGATCACTTAACTTGAGCTGAAATGTGGATTTTGTTTGTGTTGTTAAGCCTTTGATGACCTCTTTGCCACTGTTACATTCCTGCTCCAATGTTCTCCGGGGTCAGTGTTCATAACAACTTACCATAATCGGAGGTATTTTCACCTGCTTTGGTTTCTAATGTTATAACATGTGCACATGTAGTATGCGCATAGTGCTGGAAACAAACTCTCTCTTACTTTGTTACTCTCAGAAAACACTTCGTATGTATAATGTGCAGTGGACATCATCTGATTGAGTTTTTGATGGTCAAATGGGGGTTGAAGTGTGTGAAGCTTCTTGATGCCTTTTCATTTATGCCATCCCACAAGGCATCTGGGCTAAGCGGCAACCTTCAGTTGGCAGAGATTGTTCTGGATAGTCAACGGGCTGAGATACCGGTTTTGCATTAGCAGTGTGGGAATGCAGTAATGCCGCCACTCGGACTTGCATTAAGACTGCTTGTCACTGTTGGAACTCTGCTGCAGCAAGTTCAGTAGTCCAGTTGATTGAGCGCACTGTAATGGAGGACATCATTTGTTCATCTTTATTAAGAGTTGGGTCAACATAGACAGATTTCAAGTTTCACAAAAGAAAGTATTGTTGCCCTTCAAACCAATATTTATAATAGCTTTTGTTGTAACAAGATCCTTACAAACATTATGAATTACAGCAGACAAACAATTTCTCTCTGAAATCTCTCAAACAAAGAAAGATAATAACAGAGAACCATCTTATTTGATGGATTTTTCAGCTCTCTGGTTTTAAATTTGACTACAACTAAGCTTGGAGGCCCTCAATTAATTTACTATTCTGCAGTCTTTCCTGACCTCTTGTCCACCTGTAATGCTACTCATCTTAATCATAGAATTCACAAAAGCATCTAAGAAAGCTTCCTTTGAAGTAGCAAACTTAGTAACCAAATTTTTGGTCTTTGGAAGACTAAGCAGAGCTTGGTCTGAAGAAAACAAGCTCTTCCCCTGGAGGATCAACTTGAAGTATGTGTTATCAAAAGTTGTTGAAGAAGGATCCATGGTGGCGCCAGCGTTTTTGGGCCTGTTATTGATGGGACATGTATTCTTTAAGCTTGCTGCAAAGGATGGTTGCAGTGAAGGATCGACGTCGTGCGTGGCATTGAAGTTGTGGATTCTGTTTTGGAAAGATGAGCAGTGAGAGAACCCTAGAGTGTGACCTCCTGCAGATGTGTCAATAGTTAAGCTCTCCATTTCTTCTTGAGATAAATGAAAAATATGAAATAGCAATTGCAATTGGGATATTGAAGTTAGCTTACCTGAAAGAGCCACCAGGTCATTCAAGGACAGACCTCTCTGAGAGAAGCTCTGCTGCAGTTGAGATATGTTGAAGGTTGGAGCTGGCAATTGTCTGGTTTCAGTAGCCTTTGATGTTCTTCCATCTTTTCTTCCTTTTGGCACATCCCAGTTTGGCCCTCCAGACTGCAAAGATTAATAGAACAATCAGAAACAGCAAGAACTTTTTCTTGTCATTTTTGTTTATAACCAGTTGTGAGGACTTTTTCTTGCTTACTTGCACAACAGCATCCCTTGCAGCTAGAGCCAAGATATCAGCACATGAGACCACACCAGGGCAGGAAGCCTCCACTTGTTTCTTTGCATTGTCAATGACATAAAATGCATGCAAAGAAATATTTGGTGGCCCATCTTTCTCTGCTTGGTTGCTCCCTTTGGAATTTAACAACACAGAGGCATCACAACCCTGCAAAAACAAAGGAAAAAGTTTCAGCTAACTCAACCAGTGCATTTAAACTGTCAAAACAACTTGTACAGAAAAAATATACATATGTACCCTTATGAAACAGTCATGGAAATGCATCCTGAGCAGAGCAGCCGGGACAGTTCTGTCATTAGCCGCTGCTTTCTTGACAGCATTCGAAACGATTTGCTCGACGTTAGGACAGCTCTTATCATAATAATTCGAGCTCAGTGCAGTAATCACCGGGGAAAAGGCTGAAAGGATGATGAGGATTGAGCTCAAGAATGCAAGATTAAAAGCCATCCTTACAACTCTCTTTCTTAACTCTTTGTAACTTTGTTTAGGTGTGGGAACTAACAATGGATTAGAGTGGTATTTATAGATGGAGAGGGAGAGAGATTGTTTACTGATACAATGTTGGCCCCATATAATGAATTAGTTAAGCAAGTATGCTTAGAAGTAATAATGAAGGCAATGCATATGCACCTTCACTACAAGACAATCACCATCCCATCTGTCCTTGCACCTTGAAATCTCTCTTTATTTACTAAGAAAGTTACCATCAGCCAGCAAAAGCGATCTCAATAATTTCTTGATATTAATTTTAAGGTGTTAATCATCAAGCATGGCTCATGTCTCTCTATAATTACCTCTTGCTAGCTAGGCTATATTATTGAAATTCAGTTTCAATGAGTCAATCATTTAAAGGATGAAGTTAAAACTTTCATCTCTGAACATTATGATTTTAATACTTGAAAGCAGAGAGGATTCTCAACACCAAAAAGAAGCAGAAGATTCTGCATTGGAAGCATTATTCCAATCCAACAATTACAACAAATATTCTCAAATAAAAAAATCAATTATAAAACCCTTCTGCATGGTATGGTAGGTGCTCCTAATTCAGTATCTTCCCTTTTTTTAAAGGCTATGGCATCAGCAAGTTACAGCAAACAGTTCTCTCTTTCATATATATACATATATAACATGAGATGTCCGCATAAGAGAATTTCTGTATAATTAAACCCTTTTTTTCATAAAACCCTTCTGCATGGTATGGTAGGTGCTCCTAATTCAGTATCTTCCCTTTTTTTAAAGGCTATGGCATCAGCAAGTTATAGCAAACAGTTCTCTCTTTCATATATATACATATATAACATGTGGACGTCTGCATAAGAGAATTTCTGTATAATTAAACCCTTTTTTTCAACTCTTGATGTGAAACAAAGAGAACCAATAATTCTGCTGCTGCTTTAGCAGAAAAAAGGAACGTCTCTGATCTGAAGTGGGTAGGGTTGAGCAATCAATAGTCGTTATTTTTATGGTCAAGTTTGCTTTCAAAGTCTCATGCTTTATTAGTTATAGTGGATGATGGTTTATCTCATTCATTCATGCTTGCTAATTTGTACGTGAGCCTCGGCCTGTCATGTTCCAGACAGAATTAACTAACTTCAGTTGCCCCCAACAACCATGCCCCCCAAAATCTTTTTATTTTCTCATAATATAATTAAGGGTACTTTAGGTGACTGCTGGATTACTTAGCCAACCTAATTCACAGAAATCCTTTAAGTCTGGCATGATTGGTTGCAGCATTTTGGTCAACGGAGATTTGACTATATTTTATAATTTTGAGGCTTCAAGTGCAGCAGGCTATAAAACTAGGGCCTAGAGAGGTTAGTAGAAATCCTAACAACTTGTGCCAAAATTAATCCAATTATTATATACCATCCAAATTAGTTAGGGTTTATCTGGTTTGGTGGGTTGAGTTCAGTCACACGCTTCTATGAATTTATATATAATAGTAGTAAACCGGCAGACACTGTTTTTTTCTGTAGCAGTCTTGCAGGCTTATCTTCAATATAGCAAACATAATCAACCATTGACCAAATGAACTTGAATAAACAAAAACATACCTCCTGGCCTCTCTTGGGTCAAGTTAGAGATTGAATTGTGTTCTCATAGAAAAATATTCGGAAACCTTGAACAAAACTTGTACCAACTTGTCAAATGCTGAACTTGAAACTTTGATGTTTGTGTCCATGAGTGAAATTGCTAAGTCGGTGATTGGTCGAGCTGGTTTATCCTTATGTAGTTTAGTAGCATAAACATTTTATGTTGTCAGACTATGAATGCGAACCACTCATCTTAACACAATTAACTAATGAATTTTAATATAGTATATAATGCATCAACGACTCACAACTAGAGAAAAAAAAAGGAAAAATTAGAATTTGGAGTTAGAGTTGGAGTTGGGCTTCAACTAGAAAGAGAATTTAGAGCTGGGCTTATATGACATTGGGCTCAGTAGATGTCCAAGGTCCACCTCAGAACTGTTTCCAATTTTTGTTGGAAAAAAACCCGCGATGTTAAACCCTAAGGAAGAAGAAGAACGTTAAGCCCCTGCAACGCCACCACACCACTGAACTGAAACCGAGCAACGACGAAAGTTTAGCCTAGACCATGGGATCCAATAAGAAGAACAAGAAGAGCAAGAACAAGAATGAAAAATCCAAAGGCAGCGATGAGAACCTCATCACCGACTCTCGGTTTTCGTCCGTACACTGGGACCCTAGGTTCCAGAACGTTCCGAAGCACAAGGCGAAGGTGGAGATCGACTCGCGATTCGATCGCATGTTCTCGGACAAACGATTCGGCTCGTCCTCGGTCCCGCTAGACAAGCGAGGGAAGCCGAAGAAGCTCGACCAAGGGAATTCGCTGCGCCATTACTATAAAATCGAAGAGGACGAAGATAAGGTCAATTCCGAAGTGAAAAAGAAAGAGAAAAAGATTGAGGAAGAGGAAGAAGAAGAGAGTGAGGAGTTGGAGGAACTCGGTGGAGAGGAATCGGAGGATGACGTGGCGACTGGTGACTCGGATACGACGACGGACACAGACACGGATGATGAATATGAAGAAGAAGAAGGGGTTTTCGAGGATGGTGAGCCTGTAATGGAGGGATTTATTATTATTAAGATTTAATTAATTGAAATTTGGAAGAAAAGAGATCATTGAGTAGAAAATGCTGGTTAATTTTGGTTACTTGATTCTTCTTTGTGCGGGCAGGCGGAAGATGTACCAGAAATTGATAAGGAAACTCACAGGCTTGCTATTGTTAACCTGGATTGGAGGCATGTTAAGGTATGCATTTTTAAGCTTGGCATCGAATTTATTTTCGTTATATATGTATTCAAGTGGCACATAGTAAAAGCATCAAACTTTGTTAGTTTTCTGTAATTGGGTCTGGAGATGGAGATTGGGTTGTCAGTACTGACCATTTTTATTATTGGAAGAAATATGAGTACCAAATGAATTGTCATATAATATACTTTGTGTTAAGTTGTTTGAGTAAGAGTCTTTTGAGTTGAAGACTGTTAATTTTTGTGTAAGCTTCCTCTTTGTGGAGATTTGCTGGTAACTGAGTGTTTTGTTGCGTTTCGTGTAGGCTGTTGACTTGTATGCAGTGTTGAGGTCTTTTCTCCCGAAAGATGGAGAAATGAAGTCTGTGGCTGTCTATCCATCTGAGTTTGGACTTCAGCGTATGAAAGAGGAAGAACTTCATGGTCCTGTTGGCCTATTTGATGATGAAAATGAGAAAAGTGATGAAGATGAGGACGACGACGATGATGAGCTTGATGCTCAGAAATTGCGTGCTTATGAGAAAAGCAAGCTAAGGTGGTTAATTTTGCTTATTTCATGGTTATTGTTTGTTGTATGTTTTTAAATTATATGTTTACTTATCTCCATATATACCTTATTTTTTCATAGGTACTATTATGCTGTAGTGGAATGTGACTCAAGTGCCACAGCAGATTACCTTTACAAAAATTGTGATGGAGTTGAGTTTGAACGGTCGTCAAATAAACTTGATTTAAGGTTTATCCCTGATTCAATGGAATTTCAACACCCACCCCGTGACGTTGCAACAGAGGTATATGTTCCAACCATTTACTTATAAGTTTATATAGAGTTTGAGCAATAGATTTTTATATGCTAATCTGTCTGTAGTAAGAGAAGTAGGTATTATGTGCAAATGATGGCTCTTCATGCTTCTTTATGAAGTCTGAAACTTTTTTTTAACAAAAGGAAATAAATTGATTTTTTTTGGTAAAATGTAGCAGTGATTGTGAAGTCTTTGGCTTTTGTTAGGTACCTGCAAACTATGTGGGTTTGGATTTCCAGACTCAAGCTCTGCAACAGAGTAAAATTTATATTTCTTGGGATGAGGATGACCCAGGACGTAAGACCTTGAAACGGAAATTCACTGACGATCAGGTCAGTAGATTTTATCTGAGTGGTATAAATGCTTGCATTTTATGTAATTTGTTAGTAGGGTTCATATCTTGCTCCATGCTTGAGGACCTGAATAAACATTTGCTACACTTATCTGAATGGGCATTATGTTACACTGATCTGAATAAACAATAGGAATTGCAAAGATGATGGGAAGAGCAACTGAAGAACTATCAACTCCAAATTTATATAAAAATAATAATAAGTAACTACTTCATGTACTTTTTGCTTCTAGCTGATATGATCTTTGGTTTGTTTCTAGCTTTCTGAATTGGAACTGAAGGAGTTTTTGGCTTCTGATGAGAGTGAAAGTGATGAGGATGAGAATGATGATGCTACAGAGGACAAGTCCGATAAAAAGAGTAAAAAACGAGATATGTACCGCACTTTAATCCTGTCTGGAAATGGAGAGGGAGATGCTTCAGATGGAGATGGTGAAGGTGAAGACGATGACAAGGACATGGAGATCACATTTAATACTGGCTTAGAGGATATAAGCAAGCGCATTCAAGAACAGAGAGATAAGGAATCAGAAACAGTTTGGGAGGCCTATCTCAGAAAAAGACGTGAGAAAAAGAAGGCTAGGAAAAACAGATCTAAGGATTCATCAGAGGATGAGAGTAGCGACACTGATCGAGAGGCAACAGAAGATGCAGATGATTTCTTTATTGAAGAGCCTTCAGTCAAAAAAAGTAAAAAGGGTTCTCAAGGTAAAGGTAAAAAAGGAGATAAACAAAACCAAGATACGGATAGGGAAGCAGAAGCAAGCAGAAACGAGCTTGAGTTATTACTTGCTGATGACAAGGGAGCAGATACAGGTCTTAAGGGCTACAATTTGAAACGTAAAAAGACTAAGGGAAAGAAGGGTAAAGAAGTTCAAGAAGAGGACAATATACCAGCTGTTGATTATGAAGATCCACGGTTTTCAGCCCTCTTCATGTCTCCCCGTTTTGCTCTGGATCCAACAGATCCACAGTTCAAAAGGTATCTACCTCTTGTTTTACTTATTATTTGACAAAACAATTGTTTCTATCATATATGTTGATATCTTAACAAAATACAAATTATTGCCCTCCTTTGCTTTCCATACTTCCAAAAGATGGCTCCAATAGTTGCCCTAATATGTGCCACTTCATTTATTGGCTGTCATGTTATATACATTTGTGGTTCGGTGTTGCAGGAGTGCAGCTTATGCTCGGCAGTTGGCATTGAGACAGCAGCAGGGTGACCAAGAAAAAGTGGTAGAAAGGGAAGTAAAATCTGATGTCTTGCGGTCAAAGATAGAGAAATCGTCATTAATCAGATCAATAAAGATGAAAGCCAAGCCCTTTGATGGTAAGATGTCAAAGAAAGAAGAAAATTTGCAATCCAAAGGGAAAAAGGAAAAGAAAGATAAGCGGGAGGCCCCAAGCTTGGTTGAACCAGTTAAGAAAAAGAAAAAGACCAAAGCTTAACGAAAATGAAAGCATTGTTAAAATTGAGAGGAGTCCTGAAACATCATGCAAATGAATGGATCTTTGAAGGAGTGGAGGCCATAACCAACCATGCCTGCTCGGGTCCGACTCCGAGACAGTTGAGTTGTTGTTCTAATTATTGTCAAATTCTTTTTCTTCAAATAGAAGAATATTGTCAACTGTGAAGGTTTTTATTTTAATAAATCTAGGCGTTGGCTTTAGGAACTAAATTTATTCTTTCTATAGAAGACAGTTCTTTTTTTTTGTTATGTTTGTTTTTGGTGAAGGTAAATGTGAGTTTTGGTTCAATTTCCATTGTTATACATATAAGACTGCCCGAAAAATTTTGTTTTTCTTATTCGTACTTCCATTGGTTGAAAATGATTAGCACGTTAAATAAGAGACCAAAAACGATATTTATTTATTTCTGTAGAAAAAAAAATATTTGTTCCCTATGGTCATACCTAAAATCATATGTACAAACCCGCGTTTCCATCAGTATCAATTGTGTACCAAAAAAAGTCGACATCTTCCAATTTTCTGTATGGTCTACCTCAAACAAATGCCTATGGATACAAATGATACAGGGCTGATAAAACCTCAGCACCAAGAAAGAATAATCAAACTATGGCAAATAATACAAAAAGAACCACGGTGAGTGCACAAGCAAAAGAGTTCAACTTGGGTGAATAATTTGGTGGTGGTATATGAGAAGTGTTGGTACTCCCTGCTGTGGCTTCCGGATTGATGGTAGCGGCAGGGGATGCGGCCGGAGATTTGGATTTAGTGACAGGAAGAGTGACGGTGTCCTCAACATTATAACCTGAAAAAATAAAAAATAAAAATATTTGGACCACACTGTCACTGAAAAAGATCATGAAGAAAATTTGTTTGCCAAAATTTCATTCAAAATGGTGGAATTAGGACTCACAATCAGACTCCTTCCAACCCAATACCATCCTCTCACGGTCAAAAATTACACGATAGCCCGTCATGAAGTTTTCTGCACGAAAAAATCCACATTGTGAGCAAAAGTTAATTCAAACATGAAAAAATATATTTGAATGACAGTGATCGTTAGAATATCTCTCTTTAAGGGTGTTGGATTTCTTCAAGCAGTATCTTAATCAGGGTTTGACAATTCACAGAATCGCATACTATCATACGATTTGGGATACAGAAAAGAAAAAAACAACCTTAACTTCAAAAGATAATCAAAAGTTATTTAGAAAGAGATAGATGCTTACGTCCAATGATATTTACATCTCCACTTTTGACGATGCCCAGACAATAAAACATTGTTTTTCCATCCTGGGGATCAGAAAAGGAAAGTTTAGCATGATATGGTGCAGGACCAGGAAAAATAGACATGCTAAAAGTAGAAACTTACTTCATTAGCAATAACCACTAGCGGATCAAGCAGAGAATATTGCTTTCCACCTTTCAGCGTCAAGTTCACTGTTTGATTTGGACTGCACATAAGCTTAAGTCAGTGCCTGAGGGTTCAGAAAAGAGAGAATCGAAACAAAGTTTTTGTCATTTGATAGAAATATAACCTTATATCATAACAGTATTCAAAAGGGAGACTAGAATCCTTCGAACGCTGCTTGTTTTTTAGCGCGCTGTTGAACTGGAAAATGAGAAACAATTACAAGGACTGATATAGTAAATCAGAAAATCGAGAAAACATTATGAAACAATGAACTGAAACTACTTACATTCTCAGTAATCTGTGTGTAAGCTGGATCATTTAGGTATGTAAATGAGGTACCAGAGTCAAAAATCGCATAGAATTCAAGATCGGTAACACTTTCCCCAATAGCTATTTGAGTAATGGTAATGTTGTAAGTTGGACTGTGACAAGTTCGACAGGGGAAGATTAGTACAACTTGCATGATATTCAAAACCAAAGCAGTTTACTTGCGAAACTAGTAAACTTGTCATCAACATATGGATATTTAAAGGGGCCACTTACTATGCACGCCTATTTTTAAGATTGAATGGCGTTTCTGCTTGGTCTAAGCTTCCGTTATCACCAAAGCTAATTCTCCCAGATCCATCACGTCCGAAACACATGGAAAAAGAATTTGAAGCAAGCCCCTGGCTCGCTAAAATGCTAGGAATGGATACATTATCCATACCAAGCCCTAATAGACCGTTCGGAGCTGCACCATTCAAAAATATTCCAGTCTGCTCCTTACCACAACTGCAATAGAGTAGCACCGCACCTCAACATCAAAAGTGTCCTATACAAGTTAAAATTGGCATATCTAGGAATAATATAAACATCATACTCTCTAATGCAGATTTCAAATATCCTTTTAATGGCAAAGCAATGAAAAAATTACCCACCCAAAAGCAATCCGTGCATTAACATCTTTTTGTTTTGCATCGTCAGTAGTTAGGTGCAAAACATCCTCTACCAAGACCCCCGTAGATGAGGTGTTATTCGACAGATACTCAATCTTGTAATGACAATCACTAGCTGCTGAAGCGCAGTGTTGTGGTTGTTCGCAATATGTGCTGTTGCAAGAAACCTTTTTGCTTGTTGACGACGTATTAGGGCTGTAGATTTCAAATTCTATTACCTGGTTGATAAAAAGGATACAAAAAAGTAATTGTCAATGAAATGAACCACCAGAGCATGTTTCATAGAACCAAATGCACTAGCAATGTTTACCTGTCTGTTCGAAAGTTTTGGATACTGCAAGAAGCAGCTGAATAGTTTTTTATGGTATAAGAAAACAATGTTATCTTGTTGCACATTTTGAAGTTTTTGAGTACATTTGCATTCCTTCATGATCAAGAAATTCTCACCCTAAAGATGAGGACTTGAACTTATTTATTTCAGTTCAAATTTCACAACAACAAAAAAATGACTCATTTAATCTTTTTAAGTCATCCTTCTTCCTAGCCCTTACATTAAAAAAACCAACATAACACTGAAGTCCATTTGAAGTAATTACAAGTCAAAAGACTTCAAGTAACCAATTTTTCCAGAGAAAAGGTAGCAATTTCCCGAGCTGTATAAGATTCAAGGAAAAAAAACAGAGTAATTCAGCTCACTTACATCTCCATTTGAGAGCTTTAAGCCACGCACGCAACTGCTACAATCACATGGCAACCAGAGCAAATCACTGCCCGTGTCTAAGGCCACAAGGTATGATGTGCGTGGTGTCCCCACAGAAACATTCGCATAATGCAAACTGAAATTCAACAACAACAAAAAATAAAAACAAACAAAAAAAATTAAACGCTGGAAAAAGTGAGGACCACATGACCCAAAACAACAAAAATATGAGAACTTTAAAAAATAGAAAATTTTCCATACTGTCCAAAAGCACCAATCCGATAAGTGTCGTTGCCATCAACGAAGGTAAGCGGCGTCGTTTCGTCGGCGGTGGAGAGATGACGCCCTCGAATCAAGCGATCTCGGTGCGCCATAGCAGCATAGTATTTGGCACTCCCTTTCTCCGGCAGCTCATCGGAACCCAGAATTGCCTTGACGGGATCAGAGAATCGGTGTTGGATATCGAACCCGTATGACCCGAACCCGAAACAGGTCCGAGAAGCCCAACCCAATACGAAAACAGACACTAAAAGACGCGTGGCAGTGAAAGAAGAAGTAGAAGAAGCTCTGCTGCAAGTAAAGGCCATGGCTTTATTGATTCAGAGTGAAAGGCAGAGCTTTTCGATAATTGGGTTTTGGAGGGCATGAGTGAGAAACAGAGAAATGCGAGCAAATGGGTTTATATGGTGGTTGAGGTTTTGGGGCGGTAACGCGTTCTCATGCCCAAGTCGTCGTCATTGTTGAAAGAGAGAGAAAGAGAGAGAGAGGGAGAGAGAGAGAGAGAGATGGCAAGCTGGGAAAGGTGTTTGGTTGTTTAAGTTTGGTCAGTGTTAGACGAAATCGCGGGTAAGTGGGTCCCATTTTTCACGTAATCTCAGCTTGGGATGATATTTGAAAGTTGGGAATTGCCTTTACCGTCCATTTCTTTTATCCTAATTGTGGATCATGATCCAAGGTAAATCTTGGTTTATAATTTATGTTCTAATTAAAAAAACATCTTGTCTACCTAATACGCGTGGTTTAACCAATAAATGCATATAAGCTAGGTTTATGATACTTAGAGCATCCACAATGATGCTCTCTATTTCTTAGTTAAAATTTAGCTAAAAATATAATAAAGTTATTTTAGGAGCTCTCTAAAAAAATTCAACTCCAATCATACTCCTTAATTTGGAGAGTCATAAATGCTATAACTCTTTTTTAATAGGTCCATCTCTATTATAAAATAAAATAAAAAATAATTAGCATTAAATAAAGATTTCAAATACTCATTAAATAAAGCATCATTAAATTATAGGGAATCACTAGAGGTGCTTTCTCTTTAGGGGCTCCTAGTAGCTCTCTATAATTTAATACTGTTTTATTTAATGAGTATTTCAAGCCTTTTATTAATGCTAACTATTTTTTATATTATTTTTTAATATAAATGGATTAATTAAAAAAGAGTTATAGCATTTATGACTCCATAAATTAGAGAGTATGATTGGAGTTTAAATTTTATAAAGAGTTCATAAAATAACTTTTATATGTTTTTAGCTAAAATTTAACTAAAAAATAGAGAGCATAATTGTGGATGCTCTTGGACTCCCTAAACCACCTCATTAGACAAAATTTAGAGAGGAAATGAGAAACCTCACATCCAACCATGCTCCCTATCCAAGTTCTAAAATAGGGAGACCTCTAGGAGCTCCTAAATCTAAGGAGAGAGAAAGGACTCCTAGTGGCTCCCTATAATTAAATTACTTTAATGCTATTTTAAGTATTTATTTAATGTCAACTATTTTTTATTATTATTTTATATGAAGAGGAAGCATTTATGCTAAACTAAATAAATAAATAAATAAATTATTTATGATTCTCTAAATTAGAGAGTATGGTTGGAGTTGAAATTTTATAAGGAGCTCCTAAAATAGCTTTCTAGTGTTTTTAGCTAAATTTTAACTAAAATTAAGAGACATGATTGTGAATGCTCTTATTTTTTTTTGTTACTGATAGGATCTTGAGCCTCTATATTTAGTATCCGTGCATTTACATGCATTTAAGATAGTATTAACCATTAGATTAATCTAATAAACTTTAATAAATCTACATCATCATAATTGTATTAAATAAAAAATAACCATTTGCACCTTATTATATTTATCCAATAGTCTGAAAATA